TACTTAGTGTTATTTTTACCCCATAAGATCTACTCCCTCATCGACTATTCATCTAATGGTTTTACAACTGAGTTTGTTATTTCATTAGGAATTGAAAAATGGTGGTTTTCTAATTCTGTCATTCCATTTACATTTATTAACTTTTTTTTTTTTATTCTCACCTGAGGACATTTTTGCATTTATCTTCAGATACAGTGGGAGGGAGAGAGAGAGAAACATTAGTGTGAGAGAGACATATCGACACGTTGCCACCTAGGACAAACCGCAACCAAGGTATTTGCCCCTAGTGGGAACCGAACCCGGGACTCTCTGGTCCACAGGCCGGCACTCTAACCGCTGAGCCAAACCAGCCTGGGCACATTTTTTTTTTTTTTAAATATTTTTTCTTTATTGATTTTTAGAGAGCGAGAAAGGGAGAGGGAGAGATAGAAACATCAATGAGAGAGAACATTAACTGGCTGCCTCCTGCATGCCTCCCACTGAGGATTGAGCCCACAACCTGGGCATGTGCCCTGACCGGGAATTAAACAGATGACCTCTTGGTACAGGGGTCAACACTCAACCACTGAGCCACACTGTCTGGGCTTAATTTGCACTCTTATGTGAAATACAGCTTTTCTTCACGTGGAGCTAAATGCTTAATTTTTTTGCCTTTTTTTTTTTAATCCTCACCTGAGGACATTTTTGCATTTATCTTCAGATAGAGAAGGAGTGAGAGAGGAAGGGAGAGAGAGAGAGAGAGAGAGAGAGAAACATCAACTGGTTGCCACCCACACAACCCCAACTGGGGATGGGAACAAACTGCAACAGAATTAAATGGCCTTAGCGGGAACCCAACCTGGGTCTCTCTGGTCCACGGGCCAACACCCTAACCGCTGAGCCGAACTGGCCAGGGCTTTGCTTTTAATGACCATATTTAGTTAATTTATTAGCTACCTTAAGTGGGAACAGATACCTAGTTTTTGGGTGTTATTAGAAACTCATGAATTTTTATAAATACAGTGGGTCCCAGTTAATCATTACTCTTTTTGATGATCAAAATGATCTCATCTTTGTCCAATAAAGGCCCTGGGTTAAGCCCCTTTTTTACATTCTCTAGTTTTTAGCAGAACTTTGAGAGGAAATAAAATAAGATGTACATTGAGATCATCTTGAAGAAGCTGGTGGCCTTGCTGAAATAATTGGGTTATGCAAAATTGTACACTAGAAATAATAGGGATTATGGGACAAATAGGGATAGGGCTGACCTAAAATCTTGTGTTAAGTTTGTAACTAGACAACTTTCAGGAACTTTAGAATCTCAGTAAAAATACTTCTACAATTAAATTTATAATAAATAAATATAACAGTATAGATAAGACTTAACTTTAAAAATTGGTGAAGATAGTCCTGGCCGGTTTGACTCAGTGATTATAGAGTGTCGGACTGCAGACCAATGAGTCGCAGGTTTGATTCTGGTCAAGGTCACGTACTTCAGTTGCAGTTCATCCCTGGCCCTGGTTGGGGTCGTGTGGGAGGCCACCAGTCGATGTGCCTCTGTCACATTGACGTTTCTCTCTCTGTCTTTCTCCCTCTCACTCTATCTGAAGATAAATAGAAAAATATTCTGGGGTAAGGATTAAAAAAAAAAATTGGTGAAGATAGATAGCCCTGGCCAGTGCAGCTCGGTTGGGTGTCCTCCTGTGTACTGAAAAGCTGTTCGCTTGATTGCCTGGGTTGTGGGCTTGATCCTGGGTAGGGGACATGCAGGGGGCAGCATGATAATGTTTTGCTTTTATGTTGATATTTCTTTTCTCTCTTTCTCTCCCTTCCTTTCTCTCTAAAAATCAGTAAAAAATCTTTAAAAACAGTAAAATAAAAATTGATGAAGATAGCTTAATGGGAAGGTACAGAAGGGTTGAGGTTACTCTGTTATGGTGACAGAGGCAAAATACATAATGCAATAAACACTTTTAAATCAGAACACGTGACCAAAATGAGTCACCAACAAGAATGTTGGATGGGTGTCATGTTCAGTCCTGTGTTTCTTGAGGTGGCTAGCCCAAGTTCTGCCGTATTTGTGTACTTTGCTTTCAACTTCTCTAATTTGGAGCAAAAGCATTAGTTTATAGAGGAAAATTGGTAATAAGCCAAATGATTTCTGCATTATATTGAAATTCTTTCTCCACGTGATAATTACTTATGAGTTTACATTGTCGAACAGGTTCTTGTAAAAGATAGTTTCTCTTTTTAAAAAAATTTGGAATAGTCTTAAACTTACAGAGACGTTCCAAGTATAGTACAAATAAATTTTACCCCCTGAACTGTTTCAGAGTGAGTTGCTAACATAATGCACATCACCCACTATGTCTTTAGTGAGTATTTCCCACAGTCTGAGACATTCTCCTATATAATTACAGTATAGCCATTAAACTCAAGAGCATTGATACATTACTACCATTTCATCCCCAAATATCTTTACGTTTTAACAATTGTCCCAGTAATTACGGCAAAATGACCTAATCCAGAAGCACAGGTAGCGTTTAGTTGTCATGACTCTTCAGTTTCTGTTAGTCAAGAATAATTCCTTAGTCTTACTTTGATCTTCTTTGACCTTGATAGTTTTGAAGATTATAGACTAGTTATTTTGTAGAATGTTCCTCAGTATGGGTTTGTCTGATGTTTACTCACAAGGCTATGCGTCTTTGGCAGGAATATTATCTAATTGATGCTGTGTTCTCCCTGCATCCTCTCAGGTGGCATTTTATTTTTATTTGTCCCATTATTGGTGATATTAACTTGGATCATTTGATTAAGATGGTATCTGCAAGATTTCTTTACTGCAAAGTTTCTTTTGTAGGTAGTAAGTATTTTCTTGGTGAGGTACTTTGAGACTATGTAAATATTCTGTTTTTTATCAAGCTTTGAATTTTTTAGTTATGTTAGTATAGTATAGTTATTCAATGTGTTAAAATCCATTATTGTTACTATTTGTTTTGATGCCCAGACTAACCCAAATTTGACCAGTAGAGCCCTGGTTTCTGTATCCTTTGATGGGGTCCCATCGATCTTTGAGTTCTTCCTTAACTTTCTAACATGATGAGATGCTTCCAGGTTCATCTTGTACTTTCTCTGCACCAGCTCTAAAATCGGCAGTTTCCCCAAAGAGCCTTAGTTCCTCCATGGTGGAGAATGGTTTTTTGAAACCAAGATAAAGGAACACACACACACACACACATCTGTATTTCTTTATATATCTATTTATATTGAAAATCATTATGTGCCTGTTGGTATCTCCAGTTCTAATCTAATACAACAGGGTTTGTTCCAGTTGTCTCCTTTTCTTATGAATAACTTCTTTTTCAGCAGTGAGAAATCTGGTTCCTATTAATTTCAACATGTTTATTTATATGATCAGTCCCCCCTATATGTAAGCAGTGTCCTTTCTCTGCTGCCACCTACCCCCTCTCCCCACTTTGGATATGACACCTCACAGTGTGGCACTCCTACACCATACTCCTCTCCCTCCTCAGGCTCTTCCCTTGTTGGGCTGTCTCCCTGTGCAGACATCCTTCTTATCCTGCTTGGGATCCAACAACCTGCATGGTGTCCCTCTCATTTGAAGATGTGCCCCGTTCTCACCTAGCTCAATCATCTCTGGAATACATATCTTCACACTTTATTAGCTTGGCCCCACTTAGTGGCTATTGGATTGAGTTTTCAGGAAGGGCAAGGCAAGGGCCAAATTATATTTCTAATGATTCTATACTAAAATACTAGCTTGTTGAAATGTTTTTAAATCTGAATACTTTTTAGGTTATATTCTTAATTGCTTAGGATCCCCAGACTACATCTTTCTATTTGGTTATTATTGGTATACACTTTGCTGTGAACTTAGAAAAGTAGTTTTTTGCTTATCTGCCACATTTTGCTTAACTAATAGCCCATGACGATTTTAGATATTGTATATTCTATTATTGATTCACTCTGTAATTATAATTATGTAACCAATTATGTTCTTTAATAAAAGGCTATACCATTTCCAGTTATTGAAACAACTTGCTTGCAGTTCATTAAATATCTTGGAAAAACTTTATATAAAATAATATTTATTTTATTGTTGAGTCTTAATAGTCTCATGTTTATTCCCTTTGTGTCTCATTTTGCATGTTTAATTAGTGTTTTCCTTTTTCTTTGAGCTAATATCTTATACATATGTTCATTGTATCAGTTTATATATACATATTTATATATAATAATTATATTTATAAATGTATATTTTTATATATTATATGTTTATTGTATCAAGTTTATATTTACATAAATATTATATATAACTACATATACATATAAAATTTTCAGTGTTTATATATCTCTCCTCAGTTAACGGAAGAACCTATATCTTTCCATTTTTTTATCAAAATGATTTTTAGAGCCCTGGCCAGTTTGGCTCATCAGTTAGAGCGTCGGCCCGCGGATCAGAGAGACCCGGGTTTGGTTCCCGCTAAGGGCACGTACCTTGATTGCAGTTTGTCCCCGGCCCCAGTTGGGGTCATGTGGGTGACAGCCAGTCGACTTCACATTGATGTTTCTCTCTCCCTCTTCCTTCCTCTCTCCCTCCCGCTCTATCTGAAGATAAATGCAAAAAATGTCCTGGGTGAGGATTTAAAAAACAACAAAGATTTTAGAGAGGAAGGAGGGAGTAGAAAGAAGGAGGAACATCAATGTGAGAGAGATACATCGATTGGTTGCCTCCAGCATATGCCTGGACTGGGGATTGAACTCTCAACCTGGGTATGTGCCCTGGCTGAGTGTATGGGACGATGCTTCAACCAACTGAGCCACACCCAACTAGTGCTATCTTTCCATTCTTAAATTTCTAATGCCTCCAACACTGCCTGGTTTAGGTCCATAACAGATCTTTAATTTATTAATCAGAAGCTTTTGTTTGGAGCATGTAGTATACAACATGGAATTACAATATTTAAAAAACAACAACAAATAATTCTCAATTTTTTTAGAAGCTGGATAAGAAATCATCTCCATCCACAGGAAGTCTGGATTCTGGAAATGAGTCAAAAGATAAATTATTGAAAGGAGAAAGTGCATTGCAGCGAGTCCAGTGTATCCCTGGCAATGCCAGCTGCTGTGACTGTGGTCTGGCAGACCCACGGTGGGCCAGCATCAACCTGGGCATCACCCTGTGTATCGAGTGTTCTGGGATTCACCGGTAGGTAGGCCTGCTTAGGGTGGGAGACTTCTTTTGGATAAACACACAGTGTAAATTATCAAGTCCCATTGGTTAAAGGGCTTTTCCCACTTGCCTAATTTGACTGCCAGCTTGTATGTTTTTACCTTTGTAAAGTTGATGCAATTCTCGTTTGTGAAAAGCTTTTGAGGACTTCAATTCACCATTCATTGTATTAAATAAATCATAAGATGTATTTCTATTTATATACTTGTTGAGGGCTAGAGACTGCCACATTGTAAGAGAAAAGTAATTTGCATAATAAGCAAATAGAGATTGATAGTTTTATATATTAACAGTCTTTTTTCCCTACTTAGGAGTCTTGGAGTTCATTTTTCAAAAGTACGTTCTTTGACTTTAGACACCTGGGAGCCTGAGCTTTTAAAGGTAAAATAAATATTTGATTAAAAATATTTTCACATAAAAGTTCAGTTATTTAGAATCTTGGTTTACAAATGTATGAATTTCTTAATGCTAACAATGAACTGTATTGTTTTGGAATATATCAGAGGCTGTTTTGACAAATCTGGTGTTTTCATAATGGGTTTAAAAATTGCTAAGTGTATATAGCACTCTTAACTCCAAGTCAACTCACTGTTTAAGAAAATCAGTGTTCCTACATTTTTATGCTTTCTCAAAAAATATCTTAAGTTCTGTACCTTAATTTTAATATTTTATAATTGTATAAATTCTTGAAAAAAAAGATATGAGACATACTGCTATAGTAAACTCCATAATGGATTGGCAAATAGTATATTGTTTTCATTAGGTTATTTTAGCATAGGACTATTTGCAAATTTACATTTATCAGGGTAGTAGTCATCAAACCAATATATTCTTTTCCATGTGTAAGGATTCATATCTATGAAAATGTCATAAATAATTTTAGATCTCATCTGTGTTTCTTATTTACAAAACTCATAAGCTAATAGTATACTCCTTTTAATTCGCCCCATTTAGTTTAAATTTAATTTAGTTTAGTTTAATTCGCCCCATTTAGTCACAGTATATTCTTCACTTATTTCTTGTGAAACTGTGTTCTTAACATGCTTGTGTTTTTACTTCAATCTATAAATAAACTAGTAATCCTGTCAGTTATGTAAAGTAAAAAATTTGCTTTGTAGGATTATTGTGTAAACATCTAAATGAAAGTGATACATTGGCTCTTAAGGTAAAGCCCTAGTTACATAGATTTTGTTAATTGTTATGAATTCAAAGGTGAAGAAAGTGAAGGAAGAGGGGTAGAAATCTAATCAACTTTGTGTATAGATATAAACTCAGTGGATTCAATTTAGAAAATCTGAAACACAGCTGTGTGGTTCATTAAACATATGACTGAAACTGTTAAACAAAATGTTTTGAAATACTTATATATGAAGTGTAAGGAGAAAATAGTTAACTTTAGTTCTGAGTTTAAAATTTTACCTGTCTGGCCTTAGACTTCTTTTTTCATTTAATTTACCAGACATTGTGAATAATATACAGGATTGTGCTAGCTATGGTGGAGGAGTACAAACTAGTAGAAGGTGGGTGAGGAGAAACCCTTTTTTGTAGGGTTGGTAGTTCTCCGGGAGAGGTATATTGGTGAAGAATGGCAAATGGTGCTATTGCTCTCAGCTCTTGTTTCATTTTGCTTTAACTTTAAACTTTTTTGTGGAATGAGCAATTACAGAATATGCAAAAGGAATTAGCTAGCTGTACTTGCTTTCATGACTTTTATAATATTTTTAGGAATTTCTAGCTTATTTTTCTATTTTCCTACCAAATAGCTTATGTGTGAGTTGGGGAATGATGTTATAAATCGAGTTTATGAAGCTAATGTGGAAAAAATGGGAATAAAGAAACCACAACCAGGACAAAGGTACTATTTCAGTTGTCTTAACATGCTATCTTTTTTCCCCCTGATCAGAAATATAGCTATGATTTTATTTCACTATAACTGATATGTAATACTGAAACAGACCATTTAGAAGAAATCATTACTGTTTCTGTTAACATGTGGCTATTATCTTTTATTGATTAGACAGTCAATTATAATCTCTAGATAAGAATCTTAAAAATTGCCCTGGCTGATGTGGCTCAGTTGGCTGTTATCCCACGCAACAAAAGGTCTCAGGTTTGATTCCCCATCAGGGCACATACCCCCGTTTTGGGCTCGATCCACAGTAGGGGGTGTGTAGGTTCTCTCGCATTAGTGTTTCTCTCTCTCTTCCCCTCTCCCTTCCTCTATCTCTAAAATCAATAAAAACATTAAAAAAAAATCTTAACTAAAGTTCTACATAGGAATGTAAAAGTTCTTGGCAGTTAAAGTAGACCAAAATTCTATTGGTGGCCATCCTTTAAAAAGAGGTAATCTGTTCATTAGTATATCTAAGGATCAAATTTCTACTATGTACAATGAATAATTTTACATTGTGAGCCCTGGCTGGTTTGGCCCAGCAGTTATAGTGTCCGCCTGCGGACTGAAGGGTCACAGGTTTGACATACCTGGGTTGTGGGTTTGATCCCTGGCCCTGGTCAGAGTTGTGCAGGAGGCAACAAATTGATGTGTCACATCGATGTTTCTTTCTGTCTCTCTCCCTCCCTCCCTCCCTTCCACTCTATCTAAAAATCAATGGAAAAATATCCTCGGGTAAGGATTACCGTAAATAATAATAATAATAATAATTTTAGAATGTGAGACTTAGTTCAGCAAAGATTTGTTAATTACATGCTTTATACATAGCATTATGATGTTGTAGAAGTAAAGGTGACAGAGTAGTGGAGAGTACTTAATTGGTGTGTTTGAAATTATGCTTCCATTTCTGTACATGGAGGCTCATTGAATAAAGTGGCTAATAGTACCTTTAAGATACGTAATTTGTTTGGGTTTTTTATGGTTTTAGTTTTAATGGTTCTTTATTTTTAGTGTTAAAATTTTATTTGTCAGTGCTGGCCAGTTTGGTTCAGTGGTTAGAGTGTCGGCCCGTGGACCAGAGAGTCCTGGGTTCCGTGTCTGCTAAGGGCACATACTTCTGTTTTAGATTGTTCCCTGCCCTGGTTGGGGTTGTGTAGGTGGCAACCAGTTGATGTGTCTCTCTCACATCGATGTTTCTCTTTCTCTCTTCCCCATTCTCTCCCTCCTGCTCTATCTGAAGATAAATGCAAAAAATGTCCTCCGGTGAGGATTAAAAAAAAAAAAAATTTGTCATAATTCTGTGTTGGGATTTTACATTTGACTAAATCCTTAATGTGTAATCAATACTATTTAAATTTATTGCTCTCTAAATCAATCTCAATTATATCAGATTACTAATTTGCTAAAGCATGGCTGTTTGAGTTACTTTAGACCTTGAAATATCCTATTTGAGCCAAAGACTTAAGCATTTAAAAAAGATACAAGGAAAGGTATAAAATAGACTTGGCATTTTATGATTCTGTAAGAAATCAAAAGTTTAAAATGTGACATCTTTTCCTTCGTTAAGTTAGAAATGCCATGTTGTTTTAAAGTAGTTGTCTTACGAAAAATCATGACCATCAATAGTGATAGTTTAGTATGTGACATTATTGGAGTAAAAGCGAAATGAAAGCACCAAGACTATATATAGAAATGAGTAGAGAAATTAAGAAAATGGGAGAATGCTATGTTGATTGTGATTTTTTTAAAGTTAGCTTACTATTTGTATTTTATTTCAACGTGAAATCACAGTTCATTAAATATTTAGATGAAAAATGTTGCATAATGTCACAAGTTCAGTTTTAACTAGTATTACATTGACTTTCTTTGAAATAGTCAATATATAATGGCTTTTTTTTCAGTATTAGTCATGCTCAGAGACTGAGCAGAACATCATTACATTTTTATGTTTACCAGACAGGAGAAAGAGGCATATATCAGAGCAAAATATGTGGAGAGGAAATTTGTGGATAAATATTCTATATCATCATCACCTCCTGAGCAGGAAAAAAGGATTGTTTCCAAAAGTTGTGAAGAAAAGAGACTGAGCATTTCTAAACTTGGGCCAGGTGATCAAGTTAGAGCATCTCCTCAAAGTTCAGGTATTACAACTTACTTGTGTGTATAAATATTTTCATATGCTGATGACACTTTCTTAATCTCTGAATTAGTAGCCATTGTAGATATTTTTAAGTGCTAAAAACCTGTTTTCTTCTACATATTCTAAGGAAAAGTTGGATTTCTATGTCTTTAAAACTATTAAATTTAAATAGGTCTTGGTAATTCAGATTTCTAGGTAATGTGTATATTCTAAGGAATAACACTGCTTAAAGTGCAAGGGGATATGGGAATTACAAATCTATCAAGGCAGAAAGTCCTAAATATCTGATTAACCACCTAACATCCTTCCTATTTTTTCCTCCTAAATTTTTCCCAATAACATTTTTTTTCCTGCCCTTTTCCCTTCTTATGGCCTGCTTTGTGCTTTGCTAACTTGCATGTCCCCAGTGGTTGCTGTAAATAGCGACGAGGCCAGGCGGGAGTCTCTGTTCTGTCCTGATGAGCTAGACTCACTCTTCTCCTACTTTGATACTTCTTCAAAACTACGTAGTAGTAAGTACTACTCTTGTGGAGCATTCCAAGTCTGTGCCAGTGGTCATTGTGCGGTGTGGCCATTTCTCTAGATGTTACCCATTGTCTCAGAATTACACATTACTTATAATAAATTAAGCTTTTTACTTCCCCTTATATATTATGGGGTAATGAGATGTATATACAACTCTGAAAATAAGTTTATTTTCAGGCTTTGTGATTGATTTATATTTTGATAAGCTAAGTGTTCAAAAGGATTAAAATTGTATTAAATGTATTCTACTGGTGGTGGCTGAGTTTACATTGATCTATCAGTTCAGTTTAAGACCTCATTGTTTGTGGGAGGTTGTTTGCTTAATGGCGTTTTTTTTGGCTTTCTTTAAAACAGTCAAAAGTAATGACAGTGGAATCCAGCAGAGTTCTGATGATGGAAGAGAATCTCTACCTTCTACAGTGTCAGCCAATAGTTTATATGAAACTGGTGAGTTTGGTGAAATTCAATGTTAATTGGTATTATTTGCTGAAAAATACATGTGCCAAGTGCCTAGTCTTGATCTAAAAATTTCTAAAGGAAGTGGTTAGTCTTTTGGAAGATGGAGTAGTACAGTTAAATGAAAAGGCAGCTATTTCTTTTCATATTTGAAAGTTCTCTCCTAGATGTACATTCTTCTGAGCCTCATGATATGCTAACAGTGCCTTGGCAATAACTAAGGATAATTTTTTTCTTAACATTTTTTTAAATTTATTGATTTGAATGAGAGAGAGAGAGAGAGAAAGAGAGAGAGAGAGAGAGAGAGACATAGATTTTTGTTATTCCACTTATTTGTGCACTCATTGGCTGATTCTTATGTGCCCTGACTGGGGATCGAACCCACAATCTTGGCATATTGGGACGATGCTCTAACCAACTGAGCTACCCAGCCAGGGCTAGCTAAGGATAATTTAAAAAGTTTTTTTAGAGCAGAAGGATGGAAGGGAGGGAAAGCAAGAGAGTGAGAGAGTGCAAGAGATAGATAGACATCAATTGGTTGCTTCCAAGTTGGGGATTGAACTTGCAGTCTAGGTATGTGTCCTTGACTGGAATTGACCCTGAGACCCTTCGGTCTGTGGGTCAGTGCTCTTTAACCACTGAGTCAAACTGCCCAGGGTGCTAAGGATAATTTTTAATCCACATGAACTGCATGTCTTTATTGCTCATCTTTTTTTGTAGCTGTTTTTTCTTATTAGGAGAAAGAGATCAGCAACTTCCTCCTACTAGGTTTTTCTGTGCTTTACTGACCTGTGTTTTACTCCTATAATTTCTCCTTCATGATTTTTAGTGATTTTGGTCTTGTAGAATACTCAGGGTAGTAAGTATTCTTCAAATTATTTGAATTGCTTATACTGCAAATTGTGGTGGTTTTGGATCATCCTAGGGATAAAGTAAGGTGTCATCTGCTAGTAAAATTCTTTAGGGATTCTTACTGCTTCTTCTGAGCCTTTAAGTCCAGTTTTTATTGGAATATACTAGTTTTAATCTAGCACAGAGTAATTAACCTACCTATTGGATACTGGCAAGACCACAAAAGCCTGGCATACCAATTGATGTGTTTATAAGAGAAGAAAGTTGTTTGGGGAGTAATTAGTCTATTGGAAATAAAATATCTTTGTGAAATTGTTAAATTAATGAGTGGTTTGTTATGCCACAACTTTCACATTTTGATATAGTTAAGAGTTAACATGAACATAAACTTTATCTTAACCATTTTTAAATGCACAGTTCAGTGGTATTAAGTCTCTTCACCTTGTGTGAATCACTATCACTACTATCCATCCATAGAACTCTTCATCTTATAAAACTAAAACTGTCCCTATGGAACAATAATAGCCATTCTTTCCCTTCCCAAGAGCTCAGTTTTAATGATGTGTTTGTGTTTGTTTTTTCAGAGGGAGAAAAGCAAGATTCTTCTGTGTTTCTTGACTCTAAACATCTTAATCCAGGACTACAGCTTTATAGGGCTTCATATGAAAAAAATCTTCCTAAAATGGCTGAAGCTTTGGCTCATGGTGCAGATGTGAACTGGGCTAATTCAGAGGAAAACAAAGCAACACCACTTATTCAGGCTGTATTAGGGGTATGGATTTGTACCTTGAGGTTTTCAGTAGTAGTAAAACATGTAAAAGTACAATTCATTTGGTACATGGTTTTTGTATTATTTTTTGGTTTTAGAAATGGGTTGGAAAATTGGAGAAGAAGCTAGTAGTGATTTCTGGGCATCACTTTGTTGTGAGCTCAGTTTTTTTCTTAATGGGAGAGAATTCTGGTAATGAAAGTAGTGTTTTGCTAGATCACAAACTACAAGTTGAATCTTTATTAGAAGTAGTTCTTGGGAAGAAATAATGTAGTTTATCATTTTTCTGCTTTTGCTAGGTGGGTATTTTCTGTTTAAAGGAGAAAGAAATAGATTATTAGAATAAACACTGTTTTTAATGGAAATAATATTGTTGTTTGTTTTTTTTTGTTCTTCTTTCCTTTAAGGGCTCTTTGGTGACATGCGAGTTTCTCCTACAGAATGGTGCTAATGTAAACCAAAGAGATATACAAGGGCGGGGACCACTGCACCATGCCACTGTTTTAGGGCACACAGGGTAAGCTGCTATAGTGCTTACATATATATATTTAAGTAGATTTTAATTGAAAATTACTTTTGCTTTAAGGGATGGGTTGGAAAATAGAAGCAGCTAGTAGTGATTTCTGAGCATCACTTTGTGTAAGCTCAACTTTTTTTCTTAAAAAATTTTTTTAGCTCTGGCCAGGTTGGCTCAGCGGTTAGAGCGGACCAGAGAGTCCCGGGTTTGGTTCCCACTAAGGGCACATACCTCGGTTGTAGTTGTCCCTGGCCCTGGTTGGGGTCATGTGGGTGGCAACCAGTCGATGTGTCTCTCTCACATTGATGTTTCTCTCTCTCTTCTCCCTTTTCTCCCTCCTGCTCTATCTGAAGATAAATGCAAAAATGTCCTCGGGTAAGGATAAAAAACAATTTTTTAAAAATTGATTTTTGAGAGAGAGATATTGAATTGTTGTTTCACTTATGTATTCTTCATTGGTTGATTCTTGTATATGCCCTGACTTCAGATCAAACCTGCAACCATGGATTATTGGGATGATGTTCTAACCAGCTGAGCTACCTGGCCTGAGCTAATACTTTATTTTTCTTAATGGAGGAGAATTCTGGTAATAAAAATAGTGTGTTTTGCTAGATCACAAACTTTTTCTCAAATTAAGGCCATTAAGTAGTGTATGTAAAATGATACTTTCCTATGACTTATATTGTCATGATGGAATCTGAAATTTAAAAAATCTCATTCAGAAAAAAAGCTGTTACTTTTCAAATAAGAAAATTCCAAATCTTGCTTTGACGTTCACTTGTCATTTATATCATTCAATTTCAGTATTTAAAACTTAGTGAAATTATGATTTTTGTCAGACAATAAGACTGTGTGTGTACATATGTTATGTACATAACATACACATTTTGGGAGAATTTTGTAACATTTGACATTTTAGTTTTCCCACAGGGCGGCTAACATCACTTTTAAAAAAAATTAATCCTCTCCTGAGGATATTTTTTCATTGTTTTTTTTTTTTGTTTTGTTTTAAGAGAGAGTGGAAGGGAAAGAGGAAAGAGGAGAGAGAGAAACAGAAAAACATCGATGTGAAAGAGACACATCGATTGGCTGCCTCCCGCATGTGCCCCAACCGGGGCCTGGGATTGAACCTGCAACCCAGGTATGTGCCCTTGACCAGGAATTGAACCAGGGAACCTGAGACACTTTGGTGTGCAGGCCTGCACTCTAACTCTGAGCCACACTGGCCAGGGCTAAAGTCAAATTTTAAGGTAAATTTTTTAGTTTGTGCTATCAATATTGTGACTTCTGTAGCAGTATTTAGACGCACAAAACGTAATGCCATGAAAATAGATGTCCTATTAGAAGGTATAAATCAAGTCAAAATGTTGGCCTTATATGAAAAATTTGTGAATGGGTGATTGTTTTTTAAAATTTTTAGTATTATTATTATTGTTTTTTTTAATCCTCACTGGAGGATATTTCTTCATTTTTGTTCAGATAGAGTGGGGGGAGGGAGAGAGAGGGAGAAGAGAGAAACATCGATGTGAGAAAGACATATCAACAGGTTGCCTCCCGCACTACCCCAACTAGGGCTGGGATGAACCGCAACCTAGTTATATGCCCCTGACCAAATCAAGCCCTGCGACTCATTGGTCTGCTGGCCAACGCGCTAACTGCTGAGCCAAACTGGCCAGGTTGGGTGATTGTTTTTTAATAAAACGTCTCAGGATATCCAATTCTTATTACCTTGACAAGTAAGCTGTTCTTTTTTCTGTTTATTTATAGCATCTTCTATTATTTGTTTTCTTTCTCTCAATCAGTAAAGAGATTCAGTTCAATAACTTCATCATAAAAAACTTTTCTATACTTAAAAATGATAGTATTTAACTCATTTGTATTTTGTTTTTAAACAATCATTCTTTTTCCCATTTTACTTCATGGACTCCATTTATTCATTCTTTCATGTTTTTTTATTGTTATCAATTTCTTCAAGTTATCATATTTTTGGAGTATTGTGGGGGATTACTTCCCATTCTGCTATTGTATTATTAATATCTTATGATGTTAATTAACATTACCTTAGCTTTCTTCTTTTCCAAATGATGACCTTGAGTGATTTTTGTTTTAAGTTTATAGATATCTGTGGGCATCTTTTTATGATATTCTCTGAGGGTAAAGACCATAATTTATACATCCTATTATGCCATATAGCACCAGGTTAAATATGAAGCTGTCTCTAGACTTGTAAATGCTGAGTATGGTAAATTTTTATTATTAGAGTCAGTGTTCAATAAATATTCGTAGAATGAAGAAGAATTTGCTAATGAAAATGTTATTTCTTTAAGTTAGGTAATGCTTTTAATTTTTTAAGGGAAATACTAACTTCTTTCTTAATTGCATTATCTCAAAAATGCTCTTTGCTTAAATAGGCAGGTATGTTTATTCCTAAAACGAGGTGCCAATCAACATGCCACTGATGAAGAAGGGAAAGACCCGTTGAGTATAGCTGTGGAAGCAGCTAATGCTGATATAGTGACCTTGTAAGTGTTTTCTTTTTACTTCATTATTTCCCATACAATATATTACTTGTATGGGGTTTTAGCATAGAGTTTCCTGTGTAGATATGAACTTTAAACTTGGCCGGTTGTTTACTATATACCATATATTTCTCTAAGTACATTAAATGTATTAAGCATTTTACATACATGAACTTGGTTCTCACAAAAACCCTGTGAGGAAGGTATTATTATTATTATTAGCCTCATTTGAAACCAAGAATTCTGGCTCTAAAACACATGTTCTTAGCCACTTCTGTTATACTGCATGACCAGTAGGAAAAAAAACCCAGTGATTTCTATAAAATAGATTCTTTTTTTTAAATCCTCATTCGAGGATATTTTTCCATTTATCTTCAGATAGAGTGGGAGGAAGGGAGAGAGAGAGAGAGAGAGAGAGAGAAACAGTGACGTGAGAGACACATTGACTGGTTGCCTCCCACACGACTCTGGGCCAGGGATGAACCGCAACCAAGGTACGTGCTCATGACTGGAATTAAATCCGAGACGCGTTGCCCTGCGGGCTGATGCTCTAACTGCTGAGCCAAACTGGCCAGGGCTAAAATGGATTCTTTAACTCTTAGTACATATTGTGATGGGGGTTGAATTGGTACAGCAAGAGGCAATTATTCTGCTACCTCAATAATTAGAGGATTATAAGTAATGCAGGGGGGGGACACCTGCATTGGTGTTAGTAACTTTTGCAGTTGTATTGCTTTTGGGTGGTGATGCTTAATGATCTGTTCGTACTTATTTTAAAAAAACACACCTCCATTTTAAAATAAAAGTGCTTGTTTTGAATACAATTTAATATGATTTGTCAAAGAACAGTTTTTGAGTTCTTAATTTATTTTCATCTTAGATCAAAGATCAAAGTTACTTGTTACACTTGGAATCTAAATGGGATTTCACCTACATGTCATTATTATGTAGGAAATCTTAAGCATATGTTGTGTGAAGTCACTTTTTCATTCTATTCTGGGCTGAATGAAGCCCAGAATTATTGATCCTCTGTTATATGATTAGAGACAGTTCCATTCATACTACTAATTCTCAGTCACTTGCAAAGAGAAACTCCTAGGACTGCCTTGAACTCCTGAGCTCCCACTGAGAATTCTTGATTTGCCACAGAACACCCCACCCTGACCCTTGCTGGATTAGAAAAAGGAAAAAACGTACTTTCTCTGTACTCAACTTTCTTTCCCGGCTGGATGGGTTATTGTTACTATGGAGGCTATTGTAGGGAAATTTTAGAAGTATTTACCTCATTATAGATTTACAGAGAAAGATAAGTTATTAAAGAAAAGATAGGATAGTATACAGAAACAAATTTTGTTTTTTCAGGATTCCCAGGCAATTCTTATAATAATGATCCTTCTTCCTCAAAGATACCTGTTTCCAAATTATCTAAATTTTTTCATATTACTTTGTATGAAATCTTTAGTTTTTACTTTAAAATTTTTGAAAATAGACATCCTTGCTGAAAAGTTCAGATACTAAAGGGAGCATTATGGTGCTATTATTAATTCACACAGTGATTGAAAATGGAGATGGAAGGGATTTGTGGTTCTCTGAAGATAAGAAAAGAAAAGCCCATGTCAGATGTTTGCTGTTGCCAGAGAGAGCATGACAGGAGAGAGTGATAGAGGTCTGGGAAGACACTGGGTATTTGGTGGCCTGAAGGACAGAAGAGTAATACAGAGTAGGAGAGGGGAACCAGAGACAACATTTGCCTGTTTCAAAATGTTGCTTACAGTTATTAAGAAAATGGGAAGAAATTCTTGTCTTCTTAATACAGTGCTATATATCTTTCTGCTGCCAGGAGGAATAACCCCCCAAAAAAATGCATGGGAAAAAAATGGTCACCTGTGGTCATTATTATAATGTTCGTATATCAAAATATACTCCTAGTATTTAGAGATAACACAGTGTATATCTGGAACTACCTCACCTAACGATGAACCAGAATGAATTTATGACAAGCTATTGTCTCCATACTATAGAAGCAGTAATTTCAGCATTTGGCAGTTAAAATTTGATAGGTTGCTACAGAAGCCAGGAACTCTCTGGAGTCTGAAGGAAGTGAGCTGCTGAAGATGCTGCAAGAGTCCTGCTTAAACAGAGTTGAAATGCACTTTTATTGCCTTCTCTCATGAGAACTGTATAAAGTGAAATACAATTATTTTGTATTTCAGATTGCTGGATCTGATAGAATAAAAGCCTGTTTATGTTAGTGGAAAATAAAAAAATAACAGTACGTGTTTTACCTGCTTAAATAATTTATTAGTTTATGAATATTTACATTGTATAATTTTATCTTAAAAATGCTTTTATTTCATTTTAGGTTACGTTTAGCAAGAATGAATGAAGAGATGCGGGAATCAGAAGGACTTTATGGACAGCCAGGTCAATATTCTACTAATAATCATACCGAAATGCAGTATAAGAAATGCATTCAGGAATTTATCAGTTTACAATTGGAAGACTCTTAATTCTTTAGCAAACTAAATATTATAGAGTTTTTCTAACTTGTAAATTGTGAGTTGTTAAGTATGTACTGTACCCATTGAATTCTTGGGGGTGGTTAACTCCTGGGCCTTTAAAATACATAAGTATTCCTATTACAGTATACATTTACTTGCTGTATTTAACTCTGGCTGCTGACTTCTTTCTCTGCTGTACAGATGTCTTCCACATATATTCCAGTGAAGTGAATGGAATGATAATGAATATACACTTACAGCAGCACAATAGTCGTTTTCTTTTTGAAGTTCTCTTTAGATGTCAAGTGAATATAACAAAATGATTTTCTTTTTGTTATTCAGGGAATTTCTATAAATTGTGTTCAGGGAAATAAATCACCATGTGTTTGGCATATAAAAAGTCAGTATGGAAAATACTTAGAAAATGAATTGAAGGTTTAAAATAAAATTTACCAGAAGGTTAAGAAGCCTGTAATGGGAGTGGAGTTAGTTTAAAAGTCATAAAGAAAAAAGCCTCATTTTACCTTATAGCTTTACCCCACACAATTGTAGAGTATCTGTTGGGTAAATGGACATTTTTTAAACAATATTTTGTGACCCTGATGGCAAAGTAGACATTCATATTAGAGAAATCTAACTCAGGATCAGCTCAAGTCTCATCTTGAGTAATTTTCACCCTTGAGTCAAGATGTTAAGGAAAGGAAGGAATGTTGTGATCAGATTCCTCTCTTTGATGAACATATCGATTAATTGGATCTGCAATTTTATGAAGTTGAGTATATGAATTACTAATTTATCTGTTTTAAATTCATATGCGTATTAGCAGAAATTTCTGAAATTAATGACTAAAATAATTGAAACTGTTCCATATATTTGATTTTTTAAATGAATATTAATATATTATTTAAAAAGTGGCTTGATAATATCTATTTTTCCTGTTTAAATGTTTTGAAATTTCTGTACTTTGTGCTAGCTTCAGTCATTTACTTTTATTTTAACCAGATTAATATATAATTAATATAAATATAGGGCCATTCCTTTCTCAGAGGACTGTATTTACTACTTATTTTTGGTCTAATTGAATAGGGTACAAGTAAGAACTTTGAGAATAGAGGAACTTCATCTAGATACTTCTATTCTAGGGTATCCCACTTTAATCCTATGGATCAAACAATACTACTGACTCATAATATACCAAGATATAAGAGAGCTGATTAAGGGTGAAGTCTCGGTGTTAATTCTGAATTTCACCCATTTGTTTTAAACTTGAATGTTAGATTTTAAATGTTATTATTTTGTAACATATACTTAATGATAGTATTACGAGGCCATTTTTGAGGCCTTTGTGTTTAAGCACTTTAAAATAAGTATTATTCAAAGGTTATGACCGGTATTTGTAAGATAAGAGTGATCTTCAAGATTGTAAGTTAAACAATTTTTTTCCTTGAAATTTTAAACTTAAATGTTTGGTCAGCTGCTCTTTCCTTAAGGTGTATGCTGATGAAGTTACACCCAACTGATTAGTCAGAAGGTCAGTGGTCGACTTTTCTCTGGAGTTGGGACAGGGCCTTTATGTTCTTGCGACTTCTGGTTCCACCCAAATTGCTTGGGCTTCCGCCACCATTTAGGAGCATTCATATGTCTCTTTCACTGTCATTTTATGTATAAGTTTATGAGCATATACTTTCCATTCATCTGTAGAAAAATAGATTTTTGCAGTTTATTTTAATGAAAATTTGGAGGAAAAAAAAAAAGCCTGGTTTAAAAAAAAAATCTTTTCTACCACTCTCAAATTTCAGTTTAGAGGTTAAAAAATAGATCAGAATTCTGAAATGGTATATCAGCAGAATAAAATGAAATTTTGATCTATTTGAAGATCATCTTGATAATTAGATTTTTCTAATTAGATTTATTTAGAGAGTCTGATAAATAGCAGAACAATTTTATACTTATACAGGTGACGTGGTGAAATGGCACAGCAATTGCTCTCTGGCTACTTTTCTTTCCCTTTATGAGTCTTTGGAGAGCAAATATGTTTGTTTAGGCAGCAGGTCTTTTTTTCCCCTTCACCTATCACTGTAAATTCTTCTCATAGATTTTGATTGGTTATTTTATCTAGATACTTTTTTGTTGTTGCCTACCATAAGAAAGAAAATCTCACAATTCTGGATAATTTTTAAGTGCAAATATTTTCAGTCTTTTGATAATGAAAAGTCCTACCATTTAAAAGACTCAGACATTACGTTTGGGAATCATGGACCTATTTCTAGAAAATTCCACTTCTGAATTTTCTATCCACAATCCTGACCTCAGACTCCTGATTTTTTTTGCAAGGTGACTTTAAGAGTACATATTTCCTAAAGGGAAGATTTATCTATTCCTCTTTATCAGTTATTGCAACTCTTAGGAGAACTGGGGTGGTGAGTGAGATATACCATGCTCTGAATGGATGGAAACCAGTTTGGTGGTTCCTACAGTTCAGTTTCTGGTTCTAGGATTCCCCTTGATTGTTGGCAGTTTCTTAGATGGTTAAAATCACTGCTTTAATTAACCACTACTAGTTATGTGAGTCGGTGTCTGGCACAGGCTGATCACTGATCTAATCAGTTATAAAAGGAGGCTGTAATCCACCCAGAGGGGCAGGATTAGTTGGGGGTGGGGCTTACCATGCTGCCATCTCTTTGCTCAAGAACGAAATCAACAAATCTTAGATCATTATAACTGCTGTTGTAGTGGCTATTCTGAATACTAAAAATCAAAAATTATTTTACACTGTCAGTGAAAACACAGCAGTTCACATTTTAAAAATTCAGAACTGTCCAGGCACATAGAAAAGTTAACTTTCTGAAGTTAACACAATACAGTGTGATTAAGTAATTTAAAGGACATAATTTAGCATTACAAATATTGGGTGATTAGTTGTTTATCATTAATAATAAACAGTTAAATGTACTTCTGTAAACTTTCCAGAGCATCATATTCTGGGTTATTGTTTATATATTCTAGTGTAGACAAGTTATAGTTGCCTTGGGAAAAATTCTAAATGATGAAAATTATATTTAAATTTTAAAGGATCACATTGAAGTCATTTGTGTTAACGATATTAAATATCTTACCCACTATTGTTATTGTAACATTTGTTTTTAACCACACGTTTTGAAGCCTAAGAAAGGTATTATATTGATAGTCCATAGATTTAGTGTTCTTTTTTTTATTAGAACCTGAATGTTAACAAAAGTTTTTTTGTGAGTGTGAAGGTGAGACTCCTTCTGTATTGTATTAACTCTTTTAAATTGTATTTAGTAAGTGAAACCAATGATTAGTGTAGCACCAACAATTTCCTTCAAGGAAGCATTTAATTCAGTGAATAAAAGATCTTATAATTTGTTTTGCATGGTACAATGGTTCTACTAAAATGTACTTGTGTAATAGGTACTAGATAATTTTAAAACAAAAACTGGAAAACCACAAAAAGAAAAAATATCCACAGCTTGTTATACAAAATATGCATTGCTAATAGTAGAAGCCATATATTGCCATTGTACTGTTGTAATACTTAAGAATGCTCATCTGGTGCTATCTGTAAACTATTTGGCATTAGTGTCTGCTAGATCCTTCTTCCTATTTCTTCTTGAATGTATAATGTGTGCCTTTTAAGTTATGTCTGGTGTTGAATGGTAAAATCAGTGTGGTATTTTTGTATTATAATCTGCACTTTACACTTTCTTGGAAAGTAAAATTCCAGACTCTCCAGTTTAAATAGTATTTTAAAAATATTTATAATGTTTACAATAAATATTTTAAATATTTTAATTCAACATCTAAGAAAAATTTTTAAATATTTTATATGGTTTCTTAATTAATATTTAATGTTGGTCTCTTCTCGATTTATTTTATATCTTTTAGAATGGCTAAAAATGGGACTAGATTGTAGTTTGTCTTTTAATGTGGGAGTAAACTTTTAAGAAATCATGGGTATAATTCAGTTGTCTTACCAGTTGTTCCAGCATGTCAACCTTTATTTTTATTGTTTTAGCAATGAGTTAGATGGTACTCTTAGCCAACCCTATTTAAGATTCTTTACTTTTTTTCTTTTTAAAGTAGATTGATTCAGGTCATGAGAAATTTCCAGGGTTAAGTGAAAACTATATAGAGTTTTTAATAACTTGGTTTTTACATAGACTAAATATTAAAAGTGACTAAATATTAAATTTTTTTATTGAAAAATTTGGGTTATGCTGTTAGACCTTTTTACTAGATCTTTATCCCCTTCCCCGAACTTTTTTCTAATTCTCTAGCTTTTGGTATGACATCTATTGCCTCAAAAATCTCACTTTTCAAAAGCTGACAAAACTTACTGCACTATTAAAATAACTGTAGCAGATGAGTCTGTAATAAGATGGATGCAAGGTATATTTTGGGAAATAATTCTAAAACCATGTTGCAACAATAGTCATGTAAAATAGCGTTTAACAGTCTAAATCTCGAAAACAGAACTATGCCAAGCTTCTGTATAAAGCTAATGTTTAATAGGAAGCATTCATGGTGGATGACTCATCTTGAATATAAGATTTTATTTTATACAAATCCTTTATCTAAGGAATAATGTGTATGTGTGTGTATATATTTAATTTCTCATGGCAAGAAATACAGTATTCAATTAGCTGTAGTGTCAATATGTGTAATCTTACTCTACAAGCGTATTTATATGTATATCCATATGTCTGTTATTCTAATTTAATATGTTTTTGGTATTGATTCCCTTTTTTGTCATAGCATTCTTGCTCATATGGCCTATAGTAAATAAAGAAAACTTCTGACTAAATGTGAAATTATGATTTTATAGTCTTTTTCTAGGCTTTATCATTTTTATAAGCTTAGTAAGCAGTGGATTAGGTTAAAATTAGAGTTAATTTCTTTTTCACATGCTATTTAAATTAAAATGCCTTTTAATTAAAAGATAATATTAAAACAGGCTTTTTCCTCATATTAGAATATCAGTTTTGTCTTGGTAATAACTTGCATCCATCAGAAACATTTAGTGTTTGGTTTTGGTCTTTCCTTTTGGTCTTGATCAAGGGAAATACTTAAAGAATGCCTTGTTTACTATACCTCACTTAGAATGACTTTAATTTCTCATGTATTAATAAATGTACTTCTGCACATTGCTTTACAATTCTTGCATCTTTGCTCTCTTCTAACTCTGAACTTTCCTCTGTGGCTGCGTTTGAGGTGCTTTTTCAGGTATAGTTTTTTTTCTTTTTCCTTTCACTGTATATTTTTCCAGCATTTATATTTAGTTAATCTTTTTCTTTCAAAAATGCTCATCTGAACAAAATTTTAATGTAATGAATTATAGTTACTTGTCATAATGAATGTTGTTTATTAATTTTTTTCATTGTATAAATTTTAAAAATGTCCTTTTTTACTTTCATGCAGGTGATGAAACTTATCAGGACATTTTTCGTGATTTTTCCCAAATGGCATCCAATAATCCAGAAAAACTAAATCGTTTCCAGCAAGATTCACAGAAATTCTGAATTTTTTTTAAGAAGGGGAAAATATTAAATCTGGTGACTTCCTACATAGATCTGAAAACTCACAAATTTTTACTACTTTAATTCTACTTAATTTTAGTAGCTATTGAGTAGTTTGGAAAAAAGGTACCCATTCATTGATGTAAAGTAAAACAGGGCTTTAGTAGTTGGAAGAGGAGCCTTCTTTAAGACCTCAGAAAAGGAAAAGAGCCCATTTAAAGGGCTATTTTTATAGGTAAAAGTTTACTCTAGAATTATTTCATTTTAGGTTACTAGATCCTAAGAGTTTAGACAGAAATCCCTTTTTTTTGTTAGTGGATGGTAGCATTGATTTTTCTTCTGTGCCTCATGCCCAGTATCATTCAGTTAAGCGTGTCTGCATCAAGTGGGAGCCAACTGTCCTGCCTGTCTCAAGAGTATGTCTTTTCTTTAGTTTCCCGGATAATTTTTAGTGGTTCAGAAATTGTTTTGTTTTGTTTGGTAGTCTAGCTGTCATGCACACAATATGTAATTTAATTAATAACTAGAGAGTATGTTTCCCCCATTTACCCATAATTGCAGTTATATTCCTTAGATGTCTGGTTATTGCGCAATACTTTACATACAGTGGTTGTACAGGTAGGTATAACTCAGTCTTTCAGGTTTATTCCATTTTATGAAACAAAAAGAAGCCCTTAACAATTTTTTTTTTTTAATCACCAAAAGATTCTCAGTTATAGAAATTGTAATTCTTCATTGTTGGGTTGATTTCTTAAAACCCTGACAAATTTATTGATGAAATAAAACTGTTTCAAGGTTACGCTTTCATCAGATTGTAACTTTCAAAGGAAAGGCTGATTTATAAAATAATATAGAGCATTTTTGTATTTGAAATTTGTCTTTTTCACGATACATTTTTGCTATTGGTCCTTGTGAAAGGAAAATCTCATAAAAGGAGAAAAAACTTCATGTTTTCTTAGTTTTAACTAAAGTGTGGCATTCAATTGCTTTTTAATTTTTTCAACATCTATCCTGTGTACTTGTACACAGTATATGCTCTTTTAAATTATAATATCTATATAGCTTTAATATTTGGTTATATGAATCACAGACCCTTGAATTCCAAAATATTGTGGATATACTAATTTTCATTGTATATGCTACAAATTAGTCTGATTTCATCTTTGGTTGACAAATCTTGTCAAGAGTATAAAATAATTTGCCTTACAGTTTCTTTCTAATATTGTCAACAATTAAGTTTAATCTTCTTTTATAAGTTACATGTGTTATTGTTGATACTCAGTTTCTAAATAAGAGAAGTTTTCAAACTTGTGTTATCAAATAAGTAGACAAATAATACTTAATTGGGTAGAAATACATTTTCTAACATCCCTTCCCCCCAATAACTAGAGTTTTCTAAATTAACTGACCATCAAAATGGAATCTGTCTAAACAGGAATTATACTGAAATAAATTCATATCACAGAAAAGGTTCCATGTTTGACCAATTCAAGAATGCTTATTTAGTAATAATCACTGCATATTAGATAAGAATAAAGACTGTTTATGAATTACTTCTAAGGATATGCTAATTTACAAAACTTTGTATTGTAATTAAAACCATAACAGGAACAGTAAATCTTTCCTGTTTCACCTCAGTCACAGGTCAACTGGCTTGGCAAAAGTCTGATTTATAACATTTTTATTAGAGTATACATACCTTGAGAATAATTTTTAGAAAAACTCAAGAATAACGAAATACGTTAAAAACAAACATAAAGAAAGGAAGAGAAAAGAAAAAAGAGCCTCACTTTTCCTTTGTAGTGCCTATTCCTGTTTTAATCCTATGATTTCACTCCTAAAGCTTCTAAACCTCTATCTGAGGAATTCTAGGCATTTTTGCTTTTGGATCCAGCCATTGGTGCTTCAGAAAATCTCTGGGATCTCTAGTTGTGAAGGTAATTCTTCATGACCCTCTTACCTCCTGTGGCTTGTTAAGAGATGTATTTAAAGTACACTAAAGATGATCATGGTTCTGAATATCTTCAGAGAAAGCAAAATCTTTAACAGCACAGGGAATCTGGTACTACAAAAATACATTTCTGTGCCCCGATTTCTTGAATATGCTGAGACATAATTTGGAATAAATGTGGCAGAAATGATACAGTAAACAGCAAGGCTATAAATAGCTACAAGTAGTTACAAAGTAAGTTGGCGCTTACCAGGGTAAATTTAGCTGTGTCAATTGACAGCTTTTCTGTAATATGTAATAGATATGAGTTTTATTACTGTGTGAAGTATTCAATGCATTATGAGAAACTGCAGTGTAAACAATGTTAATCATACTCTTGGGCTTCATAGGTCAATATGATTGCCCTGTTTTCTTTCCCTAATTCATCTGCTGATAATAGTTTCTGATTCTTTGTCATTGTTCTGTTAGATTATATCATTAGCTCATTAACTTGAAAGATTAATATCAAAATAAGAATATTGTTTACACTATTAGGAATTCATTAGGTGCAGTTTCATGAACTAGACTAGCCTAAAGGTAATTGAGTGGTTTATTTGCGATTTCTCAATGTCACATGTTTAAGATTTTAAAAATTACCTTTGGTACAAGTCCTTAGAAATTCAGGAGTTTCTAGAGATTACATTGTTTGCCTAATTTATACTGGTCTTCATTATAGATTTTAATGAACTGGTGTTTGCTTCCCAAAATGTATAGATTTAGTTTGGAATATGTACTTTGGTTCTTCATGAGTGCATGTTGAAAAAAAACACACAACATATGCCTTTACAGTCTGGACCACTCAAGTTTGTGATGTATTAAGCAGTATTTTAGAAATATTTTATACATGTGAAGTATGGTCACAATCAACCAAATTATATTTAAGACTAAATTTACTACCCATTTTGAATAATAAGATATTTCCATATCACTCTTAGATTGTGAAATTAACTCTTCTCTTTGATAGCACTTTTGGTCATGGATGTGAGCTAGAAAAATGATGTTTTTATAGAAATATGTGTCCAGAATGACTTCAGACCTGCATGGAATAGTGGAAAGAGCACTGACTAGTAGTTACTATTATTTTTGGATTCAGAGCTCCTCACAAATAAAATGAGTGTGATGAAACAAAGTGAAACTATAACAATATCTCATTGTATACTGTACTGCTGTTCACAACATACGTTGACGTTACTTTATCTCACCTGCTTTCACAGTAGGACTTCTGTGATCTTACTCTAAGAGCGCAGTATTGTCTCTTCTTTGATCTGGGCTACTCCTCTTGTTTTACAGAGGGGGCCACTGGTTTGCTGGTTGGTGGCATAGGATGACACCAGAACCCTTGTCTGACTGACTGTTTTTGTAGTTGGAGGCACTTTATTTGTATCATGAATTGATTTGAAATCATTGTAAAGCAGCAAAATCTGATAATGAATGCCAGCTTTCCTTGTGTTTGATAAAGACTCCAAATATTCTGGAGAACCTGGATATATGATTACCTTGAGGGAATAGATTAGGATTTGAAGACATTAAATTGTAGGAAAATTTACGTTTTTGCAATAACAAACATTAATGGAAGCAAAATATTGCAAAGGTATTTTTAATTTACTATATACAGGCATACCTCGTTTTATTGTGCTTTGCTTTATTGCACTTCACAGATGTTGTATCTTTACAAACTGAAGGCAAGACCCTCCACCAGCAAAAAGATTATAACTTGCTTTATTGCAATACTTGCTTTATTGTTGTGGTCTGGAAATGAACCCACAGTATCTCTGTGGTATGTCTGTACTTATAAATTTCTTGAAGAAAGATAACTAAACAGGGTTTGTATTCAGTTTGGTTGAATCCTGACATCTACAAATATGATTTTGGGGACATCCATTTCTGTTTACATAAATTTATCTACTTATAATGAGATAATTGGGGGAGCAAAGCAAGGTTTGATTTAATAAGCTTCTCTCTGTATTGGTCTTTTTACTATTTTATGTTCTAGATTTTCTTACTTTTCCTCAACACCCCTCCACACCTTTTGCCTGTTAATTTTAAACAGGGAAAGCTTGCTACGTTATAAAGATTGTTGACATCGTTTATTTTACACAAAGGCTAAAGGTTAACTTTTGGAAATGATGAGCTACTTATGTGTTTACTTGTGCTTTGTGGTATCTTTGGATCATTCCAGTCATACATACTTATTACATGTAATATTTCTTGCTACATGTGAAAGGGTATATTTTAAAGAATGTATAACCAACATGTCATTTACTTTTTATTAGTACGTAGAGAATTTGTATCTAATTCATGAATGTAGTTTTATTGTAGTTTGTCATTGTAAATGGAACAAAGTACATGATCTTTATAGTTATTCTAAAGTGTACATTATGTAAGAATTGTAAATATTATACTTGATTAAATACTTTGTATGCTGAAAAAATTATTATAAGTCAATAAAAATTTCACCTCTGGCATACTTCTTTTATGCTCAGATTTTCACTTTATTGTAAACTACAGCTGCAGGCTTATTTGTTAACAGCTGTCAGGTTTAGGTTTCTATATTCCTTTCCAGTCCTGTCAAATCGATCCAGATTGCTCCTATATCCTGATTGCTTCAATAAAGAAATACATTTTGATCTTTTAAACATTTTCTTCTGCCTGCTCACTGAGTTGTATGGGTCCTAATTCATTAGATAAAAACCACGAAGGCTGTTTGGAGCCCTAGCTTTTTATTTCCATTATGATTGACATATATGTTGAAGTTTCTAATCTACACAATAAATTCGCATTGGATCCTTTTAGTAAACAAGAACATGTTTTTATATGAATTGAGATGGAAGGAATGGAAGGATTGAAAGAACAGATTTGGAAGTGAGTCACCTGCTTTGTCTTTAAAAGCTAATTGAAAGCAGACACAAAATTTTTCTGTGTATCTTGCTTTACTCCACTTCATTTCAGTTACAGAATAGTTCTATGAAGAAGAGAACCCACACTGCTAGTCAGTAAATGTTTTAAATGAAAACAAAGCCTGCTTTTCCCTTATTGCAAAAATAGTGCTTTTTCACTATAAAAATGTTTCAATTACAATTAGTAAAAAAGGAGATAATCATCCATAATTCCATCATCTGCCCATGCTGTCCAATGTGGTATCCACTAACCCCTTGTGGCTATTGGAATTTAAATTAGTTAAAATTACACAAAATTAAGAGTTTATTGGGGAAGGCAGAAGGGGGTGGGAGTGAGAAGAAGGGGGTCAGTGGGGGAAAAGGGACATCTAGTACTTTTAACAAAAATAAAATGTTTGCATTGCTATGCAATATGAGGGGAGAAGAGTATATCTGTCACACTGCCACATTTTAAGGGCTCACTAATGTGCCTTGTGACTACTGTTTTGAACATGGCAAATGATAGAACATACCCATCATCATAGGGAATTTTATTGGACAATACTGAGGGGGAAACTTAATTCCTTGGTATATGTCCTTATAGACCTTTGGGTATGTATATTTATATACAATTGGATCATACTGTTTTGTTATCTGCTTCTTTCACTTAATAAATGGGGAACACATTTTTAAGTCCCTAAGTAGTCTACATCACTTTGGGAAGAAATTTTTTTTCTTTATTTTTTTATAGAGAGAGGAGGGGAGAGGGAGAAAGAGATAGAAACATCGATGAGAGAGAACATTGATTGGCTGCCTTTCATATGCCACCCCCCCCCGGGGGGGGGGTTTGGCCCACAACCTGGGCATGTGCCCTGACTAGGAACCGAACCAGCAACCTCTTGGTGCGTGGGTTGACATTCAACAACTGAGCCACACTGGTCGGGCTGGGGAGAATTAAAAAAATACTTTATTACAAAAGTAGAATAACTTCAGTAATTATTACCTCATGCTAACATTGTTGTATCTATACTCCCACCCATTTTTTCCTCTTACCCGTATCTTTTTAAAAAACTAAATCCAAGACATTTAAACAATAAATCATTCAGTATAGACCTCTAAAAGAAAGACTCTTAAAAAAAAAAAAGGCCCAGTCATAAAACCACACTTTTTTAAACTAGAAAACTATATATTTCACGATTGTCTTAAATGTGTTTTTTTAAACCAGGTTCTTCAAATCAGAATTCATATTTCATTCATTGCAGTTGACTAATGTCTCTTGAGTCTCTGTAGGTTCTTCCATTATTTTTTTTTCTTAATTTCTACTTGTACTTGTTGAATACATTACTTTTATTGAAAGCATCATTTTATTTTATTTTTTAATATTTTTTGATTTTTTTAGAGAGAGAGGAAGGGAGAGAGAAAGATAGAAACATTGATGTGAGAAAAACATCAATTGGCTGCCTCCTGCACGCCCCCTACTGGGGATGGAGCTCTCATGTGCCCTGACAGGGAATCAAAGCAGGAGGTCTCAGTCCTTGGGACAATGCTCCATCTACACCTGCCAGGCTGAAAACATGGTTTTACTTTAGTCCCTTTATTGGTGAACATTTGATTCCAGTTTCTTGGCAATATACACCTAGCTCTGCCTTATTCTAAGGCTAGATATTTGAGTACATTCTTTATTTCCTTAGGATGAATTCCTATACTACTGGTTCACAATGCTGGTTTACAGTGGGTGGATATATTTTTGTGGTTCATTTAATGAGTCGGCATAGAAAGGTAGACACACCTGTTCTCTTGGAGTCTTGCCTTCTTCCAACAGAAAGATGGAACTAGGTAGTTTATAGATGGCCCTCATGGGATTGTGGGGGATGGTGTCTTAGCTGGACACTACTGGATTGGTTAGTGTTTAGAGACTACTTGTCGAGGCAGTGACATCTAAGCCAAGGTCTGAAGCAGAAAGAGGTTGGCTGGATGAAGGTTTAGGGCAGTGCTTTTCAAACTTTAGTCTGTAAAATAATCACTGTGGAGGGTCAGGCTCATTGAAGATAAATAGGGCCTGAGTCTTCATGTTTTGACAAAGCCTCCAGGTACTTCTAATGCCAACCAAATTTGAGAACCACTGTGTTAGGAAGAGATGTTCGTTTGGATAGAAGAGAGAACTGAAAGTTCTTGGAGGTCAGAAAGATTGTAGGGTTGCCAAAGGACCCTCAAGAAAAGTTGTACCATTAAAGAAAGCCTCATCTGCTGTGAAGGAATATGCCTGTCTTTCTGTATCCTTGACAGTATTGGGAAGTAAGTCAATACAAAAATAAATAAACAAATCTAATCATCTACCCAACTTTACAGATGTAGATAGTATCTGTGGCACCCTGGCTGGTTTGGCTCAGCGGTTAGAGCATCGGCCTGTGGTCCAGAGAGACCAGGGTTCGGTTCCCACTAAGGGCAGTTTGTCCTCGGCCTTGGTTGATCGTGAGGGTGGCAGCCACTCGATGTGTCCCTTTCACGTCGATGTTTCTCTCTCTCTTCCTCTCTCTCCCTCCCACTCTATCTGAACAAAAAATGGAAAAAAATGTCCTCGGATGAGGATAAAAAAATAAATTAAAGAAACAACAGGCAAAACCAGTTACCTCTAATCTCTGGTTAGAAACCAGAGAACTTGGCCAAAGTTAAAGTTAGAACTGAAGGGTAATTGTGCTTACCAAAATTCTTTGTGTATTTAGCCATGTTGTTATACACCCAGATGTATCTTTTTTAAGCTGAGGAAATAGCACATATCACCATCTGACACCCTACATTCTTTTTCTTGTCTATTTTTCCCTGCTAGAATGTAAACTCCCTGAGGGCAAAGATTCTTGTTTTTTCACTGCTGTATCCTCAGATGCTACTGTGCTTGGCATGTAGCGTAGTAGTCACTTGGTATCTACTGAATAAATGACTGGCTACCTTCAGCTCACTGTTTTAGCTTCCAGTCAACAGTATTTTTCAGGAAGCTGCAAAATTAGTATTTCCTACTGTCAAAGAATTGAGATAAGACTGGTCGCTTCCTGTGTCTACTGATTTTCTATGTAAAATTTAAATTATATTGTTAGTCATTTCTTATTCATAAATTCCAGGAGTACTGAGGTCTTATAAAGGTATAAAGAATAATATATTTGTAGAATAAACTCTAGAGTAAGTGGCAGAGAAAAACAAAACAAAACACCTTATTGATGGTGTAGGTCAGAGGACTTAAAAGGCACAATTTGAGAATTATTTCTCCCTTGTAACAAATAATAATTAGAATGTAATAACACAGCTATAGTACACTACTTGGGGCTTCTGTGGAATATGTAATGAAGTCTTAATGGAGATTTGGGGTTTAGTCTTTGTAAATACCCATGAAAAGTTATGATTGCTTATTATATTTTGGTATTGGATATTTAGACTTTTTCTTTTTTAGAGCTTGGTGTTTCTAGCATAGTTTGTATGTTGTTGTTTGTTGTTGTTGTTAATCCTCACCTGAGGATTTTTTTCCATTGGTTTTTAGAGAGTGGAACGGAGGGAGGGAGAAGGGGAAGAGAGAGCGAGAGGGAGGGAAGAGGGGGAGAGAGAGAGAGAAACATCAATGTGAGAGAGACACATTGATTGTTGCCTCCTGCACAAGTTCTGACTCAGGCTAGGGATTGAACCTGCAACTCAGGTATGTGCCTTTGGCCAGGAATCGAACCTATGACCCTTTGGTGTGCAGGCTGATGCTCTAACCACTGAGTACACCAGCCAGGATAGTATAGTTTATATTTACATGTTAGGTACTGTTCTGCTTTTTTTTAAATCCTCATCCGAGGACATTTTTCCATTTTTTGTACAGACAGAGTAGGAGGGAGAGAGAGGAAGAGAGAGAGAGGGAAACATCGATGTGAAAGGGACACATCGAGTGGCTGCCACCCGCACGACCAACCAGGGCCGGGGACAAACTGCAACCGAGGTACATGCCCTTAGCGGGAACCGAACCCGGGTCTCTCCGGACCGCAGGCGGACGCTCTAACCGCTGAGCCAAACCGGCCAGGGCCTGTTCTGCTTTTTAATCTATTTTTTCTCATAACCCCATGAGTCAGAGGTACCAGTATTAGCCCCATTTTACATATGGGTATAATTACAGCTCAGAGAGATTTAGTGACTTGCTTGCTGTCTATCAACTTGTAGAGGCAGAGTGGTCGTTCAGCCTGGAAGCCCAGCTCTCTCAACTTGCTCTTAACAAGCTCTTAAGAGAGCTTCCTCTCTTAACCAGTGTCATCTGCGGAAGATTGTGGTACAGTACACACAACTCCGAGCTCATAGTACTGCTGTCAGTGCTGGTCTTGGCTAACAGCTTAAGCTCTGGAAGCAGTAAGACTCGGGTTAGGGTCCTGGTTCCATTGCTCACTAGCTAACTAGATTTAGGCAATTTATTTTTCTAAATCTCCATTGTAAAGTGCAGATATTACCTCAGAGTTGTAAGGAATACATGAACCAAAGTAAGAACCTGTTACTCAACTGAGTTGATTTTGCTGTCGGTTTTTTTTTTTTTTTTTGTCATTTTAAAAAAGGTGAGTAGTATGCACTGAACTTACTGCCAAGCCTCAGAGGTCCAGTGTTTTTCAAAAAAGGGTTGCTTCAATTGAAAAGAACATGAGTTAAAAAGGAGATGAATTGTGGTCTGGGAACCACACTTGCAGGAGTAACGGCATGGCACAATAAACTGGTGAGAGAATTTGTATATGCACTACCCCCTCCTCGTCTTTCAAGCATGCAGACCATTTGTACATGTTTACTTACACATATGGTGTATCTGCAGACCTGAAGTTAATGAGTTTTTATGTGGTTGAGTGTCCAAGTGTCTAGGGGCAAGACTGCCACTGTGTGTGACCTTGGAGAATTCACTTCAATGTGCCTTAGTTTAGAATTTGTAAAACTGCTTGGCACATTTTAAAACTTTTTTAAAATGTTGAAGTTTGTCTTTAAAAAAAAAGAATTAGTGTCACAATCCCTAGTATTACTCCGTTGGGCTCTCTGAACTATTCCCACGTTTTGGGCAGCGGGGTCCCCCTGCTGGCCACATCTTTTAGATGCATCTGGTCGGCCTCAGAGATGACAAGTCGGGTGAAAGGCGATTTCCATCCACCTCACGTGTCAACTGTACTTGACCGTGAATGGGGAAGGAATTTGCTAGTTTAAATTCCCAGCCCCAGCTGGTCTCCAAGGTGTGAAGGGAGTCGGGAGAGAACTTACGGTCTCAAAGAAATTAGGGGGGGGAGTAATTTTCTCTTTGTCCGTGCAGTTTAGTTTTTGCTAATCGAAGGACCTGTGTTGGGGCATCTCAATTCCTTTCAAGGCTCAGCTTCGATCCTAGCGTCTGTGGCCAGGCACTTAAGAGGTCCAATTTTCACAGCTCGTACAACCTGCAGGCTTTCTCCACATCCGAGCCCTCACTTGCTGCTGAGACCACTCGGGGAAAGCTACCGCGGGCGCCCGGTTCATCCGACTTTAATCCCTTTGAACCTAGGACCCAGAGGCTGCCGGCCAGCCCTGGCCACGCCTCTACGCGCATCAGCGCTCGCGGATTGGCTCTGTGCACCGTAGCTCCGTCCCCGCCATGGCCGCCGCCCGCCGCTGGTGCTGCTAAGTGGCTCCGGGTCTCCGCGGCTCTTCTCCAGCTGCTAGGTCTCCGGTCCTTGGCGCATGGGTATCCTCCGAGGCGGGCCCCCATGCCCTCGGGCCATGGCGCGCCTGGGCGCTGTGCGCTCCCATTACTGCGCGCTGCTGCTGGCCGCGGCGCTTGCCGTCTGTGCCTTCTACTACCTAGGTTCGGGCCGGGAGACCTTCTCCAGCGCCACCAAGAGGCTGAAGGAGGCCCGCGCCGGAGTCCCCGCCGCGCCCTCGCCGCCACTGCCGGAACTGGCGCGCGGTTCCGTGGCGCCGGCCCTGGGTGCCAAAGCCAAGAGCCTGGAGGGCGGCGGGGCCGGGCCGGTGGACTACCACCTGCTGATGATGTTCACCAAGGCAGAACACAATGCCGCGCTGCAGGCCAAGGCCCGCGTCGCGCTCCGCTCCCTGCTGCGCCTTGCCAAGTTCGAGGCTCATGAGGTGCTTAACCTGCACTTCGTGAGCGAGGAGGCCAGCCGCGAGGTGGCCAAGGCCTTGCTGCGGGAGCTGCTGCCGCCCGCCGCCGGCTTCAAGTGCAAGGTGAGCGGGGCCGCAGCTGGGGGCTCCGGGCGGGTGGCCCACCCCATCCCCACGGCGGCCAGTGCGCGCGCCCGGCCGATTCCAGGGGCTGTGAGGGGAGTGTCTAAGTTGCATTGCCCACTGCCAACGCCCAGAGAAGCTTACCTCCTCCTCACCATGTCCGCCCGCACCTCACCCGGCCGAAATGGGCTTTCCCAGCAAGCTGAGGGTACCGTCCGGGGGCGTGTCTGGGGAGCCAGAAGCACTTAGCTGGTGCAGGAGTGGAGCCCAGGTGTTAGCTTGACCACCCTGACCAGATCTTCACCGCCCTCCCCATTAACTGTGGCCCCCTTGAGAGAATCAGCACACCGCCTCTTTGCTAGTGTTGCAAGATTCAGCAGTACCTTTAGAGTTTGCACCTCTTTTTATTCTCCTTAGTCTTTGACTTTTGGGATGAAGCAGGTCATTTGAAGGACCAGTAGTCATCCTGTGCAGAGGCTTCTGGACAGGGTCTTAGTGAGGCTTCTTGAATTGAAGTTGCTGCAACATTTCATAGTTAGTTCTTAAGTTATTTCAGTCGGAACTGGTCAAACCCAAACTGAGCCAGTGTGAACCATCTCATCCCTTATCTGTGCCCTCTTCTCTCCTACCCACAAGGATCATGAACTCATTTAGGGAAGTTGCTGGTTCCTCCAAGGGAGCAAGAGAAAGAAAGTGGTAAGAGAGACAAATACGATCTGGGGAGAGCAGAGCTAGCTAGCCACCTTGTTTCAGGCTGGACCAACCTCTCCCAATCATCTCAGAGATTGGGTTTCTAGCTTAGTGTTAATTGCTTCAGTTAAATGGCGTGCCTCACTTTAACCTAGTAGCTGCACAGAGGGGATCCAAGGTCTAATTTTTGGATGGGAGTAGTAGGTGCTGTGGCTTTCTGTTGCCTAAAGAATCAAATCCCAATTTCTTGGTAGGGCTATCTGTGTTGTGGGCTTGACCTTCCTCTCCAACTTTGCTTCTCATCCTTCACCTATATTCACCTTAGATCTTAACTGTACTGAATATACTTTTACACAAGCTGTACTGTTTGCCCAGAATGTCCTTCCTTTCCTCCTGGGTCCTTGGCTACTCTTAGCTTTCATCTCTCTTGAGACAGCCTCGGCCCAGCCCTCCACAGCTCTTCATTTCTGCCCTCCCCCCGCCCCCCACCATAGTCAGGGAAGGGCACCTGGGCCTGGACTTCCAGTTGTAGAAGGCCAAGAATCCAGGGCCTGGAGCTTGTGGCTGGAGGGGCCCTTGGGACCCACAGTCTGACCTGGGGTTTTTAGCCTGGGACTCATTTTGATTTACTTAATTGGAATCTTCCAACTGGAGTTGGGACCTGGCAACTTGTCCCAGGTGTCCCTTAGGACTCTAATGTTTGATCAACTCTGCACTAGTCCAGTGGAGAAAACTGAGGGCCCTTGGTCATAGGGCCAGTCTGGGCAGAGCTGTGATTTGACACCAGACACTACCCTGAAGATCAGCATTGTCATCTGTTCACTTTCTGAGCCACAGATAGCAGCTCAGGCCTACTCTACATCATTGCCAGCTCTCTGTCGTCCCTTATCCCTACCTCCAGCCGCAGCTATTGCACACCAGTGCTTTCCGGCCCACATGCCTTTGCTTATGTCCTTCTACTGTCAGGATGCTTTCTCTCTCCATCTCCAAGTCTTGCACATCTTCAGATACCATCCCCTCCTTGGAGCTGTCCAAAGAACCCCCATCTGAAAAGCATGTTTTCTCTTCCTCCCTTGTGTACCTTCCTGATGCTGTGACAATATCATGGCTTGTCTCCCATCCTTGTGCATAATGCCTGGCACATAGTTAGCACTGGAAATATTGGTCCAGGGGCAGGTCCAGCATGAGGTCCAGATTCCCAGCTTGGACTCTATGTTTCATGTGTTTCTGTCTCTCTACTGGGCCCAGTTCTTTGGACAGCTCCAAGGAGGGGATGGTATCTGAAGATGTACAAGACTTGGAGATGGAGAGAGAAAGCATCCTGAGTCACCTGGAGGCAGTTGCAAATGACCTGAGGTATTAACACTGTCCAGTTGAGGCATGAGGGGTGAGAATTTGGGGGCTTCTAGCCAGATGGTCAGATAAGGGTTTATTAATTCCAGCAGAAAATTGCTCCTATTAACTGGTATTCTGCTTTCAGGTCACAGCATAAATGTTATATTTGCTTGGTGAACCATTCCTCAGGTCTCGTTATACTCTGTCATAGCACCAGGTACTTTTCCTTAGTAATATTTATGACAGTGTAATTATATAATTATTGAATGAATTATTTGTCTGTCTTTCTAGACTATAAACTCCTTAAGGGCATGGACCCTGATTTCTCTTAAATATTGTATCCTCAGCTCCAAAAATCATGCCTTATATATGGGAGTGCATTTTCCACTGAGAATCATTTTCCAGTATTAGGAAGAAAGAAACTGTAAAAATTTTTACCTTGGTTGCATCAGAGCTGGAAGGGATCTTCAAGGGCATATAGCACAGCAGGTGAGGAGACTTGCCCAAGGCCATTGGGGTTGAAGTAGAGGGGTTACTGACCTGCATCCTAGGCCAGTGTTTTTCCCTGTGTACCATGTTTCCCCTTTAAGGAGCACTTCTCTCTTGTGACTTCACTCCCAGAGAGAGTTACCTTGAAGTGTGTAAGTACATACCTTTGGAAAAGGAAGGCACTTCCTTGCCAACCCAATAGTCTATCCTCACCCAAGGACATTTTTCCATTTTTTGTTCAGATAGAGCGGGAGGGAGAGAGAGGAAGAGAGAGAGAGAGAAACATCGATGTGAAGGGACACATCGAGTGGCTGCCACCTGCACGACCAACCAGGGCCGGGGACAAACTGCAACCGAGGTACGTGCCCTTAGTGGGAACCGAACCCGGGTCTCTCTGGACCGCAGGCCGACGCTCCAACCGCTGAGCCAAACCGGCCAGGGCGAACCCAATAGTCTATAGATAGCCTGGAGGCTCCTCCTCCCTTAGGCTAGGCTCTGGGACTCCAGTGTCTGCAAGATGCAGAACAGGGCTACAGTGAGCTGGCACAGAACCCATACTCACACTCAGAAGTCTCTTCTCAGGCTCTATTCAAGTGACACATAAGCACCTTTTTTGCTGGAATGGTTGCAGAAATAGATTATAGAAAGTTATTAGTGACCTTAGATTATATTATAAAACCCACATTCACTTAACCAGAAAAATGTTGTTTCAACTATTATTGAAAGTCTTTCACAGTTTACTGGTTTGTTGTCTTCTCACAGTATGGAAGTATATTATTTGTTCACCTATTTAATGAATATCCAAACCTATGTTCTAGGTACCAGGTAAGGAGCTGCTTCTAGCCTATTTAATATGTCCATGGACTAACTACATAAAATCACCTGGCAGTCAAAAAAAATACAGACTCCTGAGCTGCCCCTGTCTATGGGTCATACTCCCCTGGGTGGGCCTGGGAATCTGAGTTTGTGTGGGGCTGCAGAGGTAGACATGGGAGTCACTGCTGGAAAGGATACAGGAGCACATGGTGCTCTCCTGACATCTTGCAGACTCAGCTCTGGGATTCTGTCCTGGGAGCACAAGGCCTGCACCTATGAGGCATTAAGGAAACTTTTGACTGAATAGCTCTCTTTCATCCAGGCTATCCTGGCTCTGCTGGCCTAGGAAAGGCTGCTACCTTCACCTTGCTAAAATGGTGATGTTATCATACCACTTCCACTCGACACCTCCTAGCTCCTGGCTAACAGTCATCCCAGGTTATTCCAACATAGACCCTCAGCAGCTGGCTTCGGCCCCCCTGCCCAGCCTGTCCTCCCTACGCTTCTGAGTCCTCTGTTTTCTTATTCTGTCTGTCAAGTGGAATTGTACACTTCTCAAACTTAGGTCAAGATTTTTTCTTCTACAACCCTTCCTTGCTATTGATCAGGTTTGATGGAACATTCCATGAAAACTCCAAAGAGTGGTGGGGTTAAGCAAGATTGAGCTTTATTTCTCATCTAAATGAAGTCCCAAGGTAGGCACTCCTGGGTGCTTCATGAAGTTGTGAGGGTCCTAGTCTCCTTCCAGCTCTCTGTTTCATGATCCCTAGGGAGTGGCTTTTGTCCTCATGGTCTAGGGTGGCTGCTAGAGATTTAACCATCACATCTGTGTTCCAGCAGCAGGATGGAGAATCAGAGCAGAGTACTCAGTTAAAAAGAGAGGTTCAGTTAATCAGGAAGGGGAGGAGAGCAGATTTTTGGTAGACAATCAGCCATCTCTGACCCACCCCTCAGGACCCCACACTGCACTTTGAACCCCCAAAATGACCAGTACCTATTGGATGTGGGACTCTGAATAGGCATGGGTCAGGCACAGCCTGTGCTTTCCAGGAATCCATGTCACTTAGTATCACACTCATGTACACCCTCTCCTGCTGCAAAACTCAGTGAGTTGGGCATGAGATGGTCCTGAGGGAGTGAGATAGCACTGAGTTTCAGCCCCAGTTGGCCAGTTACTAGCTGTAGGTAATCCACCTCACCTCTCAGGGCTTCCAAAGCCTCCTCTGTAAAATGACGATTAAACACTTACCTCACATTTGGCGGCGAGGATTAAATGACACTGCTGTAATGCATTTGGCCCAGTGCTGCCGTGTAGGTGTTGTGTATCCCATCTCACAACATTGTTCTATTCTGCTGACTTCTGGGGAAATCAACACAAAGAGCAGGTCCCAGTGCCCCTGGCATGTCTCAGCACTGACAGAACCCCGTGCCATCTCCTCCTTCCTTTCCAGGGTGGCCAGCCCCCTGCAGAGGCCCGGCAAGGCTCATTCAGCCATTGTTGGCACACCCTCAGAGGGGTGCGGCCATATTGCTGTGTTGTGGCGTTTCTCTTGTGCTGTCACCGTGTTACCACTCCGATGTTAACCACTCAGAAACGCCTTCACTGAACCCCTTTTCTAAAGCAGCCCCCACCGCAGCCCTCATGATCTTTCTCATCACCTTGTTTGTAG